AATATTAAAAATGTTTTAGTTTTTTAAACGAGCGTGCAAAACGCTTATACGAATAATAAACGTACCGAAACGCTTTTTAGTGTTGTATGACGTCTTACATTTTACAGTTCAAAATGTTTTATTTTTATAAACATTTAATATCAATAAGATATATTTTGTTTTCGACGTATAAAAAAAATTAACGTTTAACGATCACAGTAAGATATTTTTTTCCATATAAGAAAAAGCAAATACCTTTGGACGTTTTTAATAATTAAAACATCATAATGTTTTCAAATATAAAAATGTTTAAAATTGAAGTATCTTTTATTATTAAACGTTTCGGGAAAAATATTTTTTGAACGTTATTGTTTTAGAAAAGATATTTTAAATGTAAATATTTCCTTCGCTACACATTTTTTACGGTAGGTTTTTACTAACGATTCATTAATTGTGCTATATTAAAAAGCTCATTAAATTATTTCTTTAATGATGTTATAGTATAATATAATATGCAATACTACTTAAGCGCGATTCGACTTAAAATATATAATTATATAATATAATTATATATAATTTTTAATGGCAAAATATTGCTTGCTCCAGTCGATCGTTCCATGCGGCGTCTTAAATAGCATTAACGTTTCAGTGATTTCTGATAACGTGTGCTCGAAACGACGTATGCGGGAAAGATATATTCGCGGAAAGGTAAAAGTTAGACGCGTAAACTTGAGATTGGTTGCTTGCTGCGGTCTCCCTATAGGAAATCCTGATACATCTCGAGTTTCGCGTCAAAGTTTCGCGAAGCTACTTGGCTTCGCTTGCACGAGGTATCCTTTCGTTTTTCTGGATTTTCTTTTTCACGCTATAGTAAGTTACACTTATTCTTCGTTTCTATGCTCGTAATAATTTTGTTAAACGCGTCGTATGGTTCTCCATAAACCACGTACCAACGATGAGTTTCGTGTTCAAAGTGCCTGCTTGTAATTGCACACGTCCGTTTGTGGGCGCACAAGAGGACACATGCTCGCCCTCAGGACGCGAAACAGAGGGTACCCCGTGAAATGTAGCGTTAATCTCATTGTTTCATTATGTCATCGCTGCGGCACAAATTATCTCGAGTCACTTATCATGATGACCTTTTGATTAAAGGGAGTTTGTGCAAGTAAAGAAATATTAAAAACAGTAGTAATATTAAGGATATTTAATATTGTTATTATTCCTGTTTTTAATATATAATAATAACAATATTAAGAATTTAATATAGTTCCTATCAAAAGTTTTAAGTTAAAAATGTGTTAATATTTACATTTTCTATATAAAAATAAATATGGAAACTATATATCTATGTATACACACAAAAATTATGTGAATAACATATTTTTAATTAACAACATCTTTTTGTAGTTCATTTTAGAATAGAATAGAAATTTTATTGATTTCAGCATATTTGCAAGTCAAGAATGGGACTTTGTTTACAATTGTCCTTAACTTATTCATCCATCTATACCTTTTACTCGCTTCTCATTTTACTGTCGTTCCTGTTTCCTATTCCTTTATTTGTTTAAACACTATTTAACTAACCTTTAAAATTTACATAGCCTTTACTATTTACCATATATATATATATTTATTATTATTTAATGATAAGATATAAGACATAAATATATTAATTTTTTATTTCTCTCTAATACTTGATATTTACATGCATCTGTTTTTAATATTTCTTCTATTACGTTTAGACTATAAGTCGTAAGAAAGTGTTTTGATAGATACGTAGATGTATTGAGTTTCTCTCATTTAGGACTTTGAATAACTAATTAATGTACATATGACAGGAAACACATGACATATTTAGTATTTACGTTAAGTCAGAATTAGATTAAGCAAATTAGTGCGAACATGAAATTACGATGTCATTCGCATTCATTGAAACAAGTCACATTCATGTTTGTCGTTTTCGTTTGCTTGGTTTAATAAAGGTCCCTTACACAACCTTCCGAATTTTTAAAATTCAATCAAGGAATGTTTAATAAATTGCCGAATTAATTTCAAAAAGTTTTCAGGAGAGTAAAATCATAGTCGGTAAAATAAACAATCTGATTTTTTTTTTTCGGGACACATTTCACGAGCAAATTCAAATCTGTTCTACGTTAAAATATGAAACGAAATCGTAATTGCATCGGTGAAAACAAAGTTCTTCGTAGCTATGAGTAAATGCATGATAATTTTTTTCTATTTGTACAATCCGTGTATTTATTTTTATTTTCAAGAGTTCCGTAATTTATATTAACGTTTCAAAGTTTGACGCAGTCATAAATATATAATTTAAATTACAAAACTTTTCCGTGCCGGATACATATTGCCTGAAGTTCAAAAGTGCATTTACTGCTGGTGATATAATTATTGCAATTTCGCAGCGACGTAACGCTTCTGGAAAGTTGCGAGCGGAGGATTGCGCAACGGCTGTTAAAGAATACATTGAATTTAAATAATCTAAATGCCCCTCGTAGTGTATTCCTTTGATTCGGTTGAATTTCCTACTCCTGGAACTGTCGTCGACTGCGTACGTGGAGTTAAAAGCAGCGAAAAGGACTTACGGAACACTCCTTTCTGCGTCGCGTAAAAACAACGTGGAGAAAGAGCAGATAGCATTATAGGGATGCCGCGAGTCGCACGGAAGAAAGCAACTCTCAAAGGACGCGCGCTACAAGTCACCCTCTCAAAGGATGTATCTGGAATATACCGACCGCAAGGGAGACGCGGGACTGGTAACTCGATAAATAAAGAAACAAAAATAGATAAATCAGGAACGAGCCGGCCAAACGGCTCCTGTTTCCGTTATCCAAAAAAAAAAAGAGAGAAAAAAATGTCTGTACTCTTTGTCCTTGTTTCAGTCTGCTCTAACGGGTTGTTTTTTGTTTCCCAACGGGCGTTCCGAGTTTCATGGTGGAAAAAAAAGGATAGGAAAGCGGTTAGTAATGACGAGGAGCACAATAGCGGATAGTTAACGCATAGCTGCGTCGGTTGGGTGCGAGTGGGGTTGCTCGTTGGTGGCTGTAACGATGTGAACGCGTTGTCCGAGTGATACAGAATGGCAAGCAGCGACATTGGGTCGCGAGCGAAGCGTTGAATTGTAGGGAAGAAAGGAGACGCGGGCGGGATCAGTTAGTGGCCTTCATTTGGGTGCAAATGGAGTTTTTCCTAAATGGACGTTTCGAAAGTTTGCCGTTGTCAGGCATTGTTTGGTCGGCGGCAAGGACGAGAGAGGAGCAGGATGGGGGAGCGAGTGCAATGCGGAATCAGTCTGCCAAGGCTTTGATTAGCTGGCGTCACGAGGTCAAAGGCTTTCTCGATTGTTCGCCTCGTATTTATAGTTGGTTCGTTCATTTTCCTCGCGGCAATTGTCGCCCTGCTGTTCCCTGGCTTTCCCGTATTCTTCATCTTCTTTTCCCTTTTCTTTCTTTCCGGGAGAAACTGGGATTGCTTCTCGTGGAGAAAATATGATAAGAGAGTATTTTGTCTTATTATTTTATATGATTGAAAAAAAATATTGATGATTTAATGAATTTTTGAAAATCGTTTATTCTCTGCCACATCCTACATTTCCCTCTTTTCAATTTCAATTTCAAATTTTTTCACCTTATTTTTCCTTGTTTGCATCAAAGCGGGTCGTTGTTGGTTCGGTTCCATCGCATAGTTGATTATAGATAGCCCACGCCGTGGTTTGTTTGCTAAAGCTCTTATCTCTGTAACACCATACTTGATACAATTAATCGTATATACTTATTATCTATATTATATGTTAACTACTCTTGAATGAAAATTGTCGAGTAAAGACGCTATGAGAAGATGTATTACGAGAAGATGTGTAATTTCTGTTCAATAAGCTGACGATATTATCCAAGATTATTATACGAAACTGCGTTATCTGCTCTCCCTTTTATTTGCTTACGATTGGAAATAGATGTTTCGTGTCGAATACGAAAATCCCTGAACGAAGTAAATTTCCGAAGCTCAATCGGAAGTATATATCGCTACGTGATCGAAACACGAGCGACGGACACTAAAAGGAAAAGCAACGATTTCCCGTTGCTTTACGACAGTAATTAAGCGCGACTTCGCTTCGGAAACCGCAACTAATGCTTGCCTCCATTCGATCTCGAAGCTTCATTTGCTCGCGCATCCAATGACGCTGTGCCACTTTGATCTCGAGTTGAGCACTTACGAAAGTGAGATCGCTCAATCTATGAGCGCGTTAGCGTTTATTTACTATCGAATCAGCAATTCGCTGGAACGCGTTCCCCGAATAAGTTGAAAAGCGCTATTAAATAGCAGCTTTACCAGATCCAATTTAAAAAGGTGCACTTCCTAATTCACTTATTTGTTTACGTTGTCATTTTTAAATCTCATTTTTCTACTAAATCATCGAAGTCATTTTTCTACTAAAGTATGCATATGAAATTTAACGAAAAGATTTTACTGAAGTCTCTAAAAGTTTAGCTAGATGCAGATCTGAAAATAATTTTGTTGGACTACCAAAATAATTGTATAGAACCTTAAGTATAATAAACACACTGAGAGAAAAATATCGAAGTATTGATATATCAAAGGAAACAAATGTTTCCTTCGATATATTAATTATGAAGAAATTTGATTACGATGACAAAATATACATAACATTTCTATGAAATATTTCATTAATTATAAAAAAATGAAATGGATTATTCGCTAGGAAGAAAAATTTAATTCGTCGTATTTAAGTAAAGACTTGTTTTAATGAAATAAATATATTTTTCTCAAATAAATTTTTAAGTACCTTTTCCTCAGTGCAGTGTTGTAAAAAGTTTTGATTCTAGCAACCAGTTTAAACGCTGTATATAATCATATTTGATCCAACAAAATTATTTTCAGGTCTGAATTTAGCTAAATTCTTAGATACTTCAGCGAAACTGTCCTTTCTGTGTAAATTTAATAAATTATTCTGATTTAATAAATAGATTTAATACATTTCTGTGTAGTGCCGAAGGTGGAAATTGTGGATGAGCATGGCGCTACGGCTGGTGACAAGTTCTACAAAGCAGGTAGTACAATAGAGCTGAAGTGTGTAGTCAGCAATATACCGCAACCCACTGGCTATGTCACGTGGCGACACGAATCTCGTACGTTAAATTACGACACGACTCGTGGTGGCATCAGGTAAGCAATAGACGACATAATATTTGGGTACTGCAAGACACTTAAATGTTATATACGAAATGTAATTCCGCTGATATACTAATTTGTAATTATTGAGCGAAGCATCGACTTTGATCTGTATTTGTCGTTAGTATCGTTACGTTATGTATATTATCTGTTTGATGTGTAGCACGGTGCTTAAATATAGCTAGTTAACATTCTGGTAATTCAGTCGACGAGAACTCGATAGTTTATGCAGTCTGCATAGGCAGGCATTCTAATTGCCTCGATAAAGAATGGTACGCCCGGTGAATTTTGAAAGGCTTCTATTAAAGTTCTCGAGCGACGGTCAACAATTGTGGCGGCTTCTGGGCGTATGTGACCTAATTGGTTATAGATATGACAGCATTCATGAATTTCAAACAGCGCTTCAGACAGTATTTGATGTTGTCGGTTTCGTAGAACGGTTTTTTTCAATCAGCGGTTCATCGATAAAACAATTTTGAAAATTTTCTCAAACGTAACGTAATATAGTCCCTTTGTCTCGCTGTACCTGCTTCGTTTGTTTTTTCTATATTGGTTAGTTTACGTCACACACTTAACAATTTACACGATAATAACGTAATAATAAACGCTATCTATGATAAATTAGCAATATTGTGATCGATATTAAGTCTGAAAGAAGAAATGCGAGGTACCAGATAAACTGTTGACAATTTAATCACCCTCGAAAACACTCGATTATAGTGGGCTGATACACATAATGAACGAGCTCGTTGCTTGCACCAAACGCAGGCAGCGGGTTTTGAATAAAACATACAAAACTTTTAATCACAAATCAGGTCACAAGTACGATTAGCAAAAATTAGACCGATTAATTGAAATTAGCAATGAAATTTTATTTTAGAACAATTGAAAAAAGAGCTTTGTATAATATTGTATTATCCCTAAAAAATTTTTAAAAAAGAAAAAATATATGCCAAATGCATAAAAAAGGTATCGAATATTATATTTTTCTTAATAAAAAACGGATACGAAATAAATACAATTAGTCAAGTATTTTATAACGCAAGACACTAAGATAGACTGAAAGTAATTAAAATTGTCGACTGATTATAGTGAAGAAAAAACTTGGCGTACCCGGGTTGCATTAAAACGTAATATTCTAGGATCAATATATGTTCATAGTATAGAAATTATTTGCAATATCAATTAATAAAAAAATTATTACATACAATATTCTGCAGATATACACAATACAATATAATATTATTTTAAATATAATTGGATAAAGAACATCTGATTATATATAAGTGCTTTAGTAATAAATTCATTTTTTCAAGTTATAAATTAAAATTGTTTATGTTCGATTAACGTTATCTCATTTTTGAAAAACAATTTTTAAATGAAACAATTTAATTTTTGCAGAAAAAAATCAGAATGATATTGATATTTACAATATTTAGGTTTGTATCTGGAAAAATATTGTATTATGTTTTGTCATCCTTAATAGTACATTGTTCTTTTCATAGAATTTTATATCTTTAAAATTTGCGAAAATATTAGACGATAATTCAAACAGTGCTTTCTAGAAATTTTGTGTAAGATAGCGTTTATAAATCAAAATTATTGGTATATAAACGTTAAGTAAGCGGATTGCAAGATGCTTTCGTCACTTTTAAGATGTTTTGGTTGTACAAAATCCGCTAAAAGTATTACTTATAGTATAAAGCTCATGTCAGAAATGTAAGGCAGTAAGACCTATAAGCAGTATAAGCGAATCAGTCAATCACAATACAAAACGTAAGGTTATTGCCTTACCAATTCCTTTACCGCTCACATCTTACTGCCTTATATTTTTTAGATTTTTCTGGCTGTAGTATCGTCAAAAATTTCATTAAAGAAGTCAATATCCAGCTAAAGTCAATGGCACACAATGCATTGCTTGCATTTTAAAAAAATTAATAGAATTACATCACACAGAATGCAGGATTTATAGTAATTTACTAAAATGCAAGAAAATAAGTATCGTGTGCCGCTGGTTTAATATCAGCAAACAAATTTATGTCATAAATACGCCCTGCAAAAAGCAAAACAAATGATTTGGCTTATAATGGCTTTATGCAGCGAAGTGACCATATTTTACTGTAGTTTCAGATAAATAACTTTTATACGATTAAGTAGCTCCAAATAAACTTTTATATGAATATTTATTAGAGTTTTATTAGTATAAATTTAATTTAACTTGTAATGCTATGATCTTATCAAATTTGTAATTATGTATTACAAAACGAGATAAGAATCAAGACGTACACACACACACACACACACACAGACACACACAAAATTAAACGATTTTTAATTAACTTTAAATAAAAGAATTGTTGTGTAAATATTAAACAAATACAATATATACTTATATAATATAATATAAGGAAACATATGAAATTTTTATATTTTCAATGGTTTGAGCTGTGACCCATAATATTTAATAACATTTTGACCTTTTATATAGAATTTTATAGCTTCAAAATTTACGAAAATATTAAACGGGAATAGCGTTTTCTAGAAATTCTGCAAAAATTAGCATTTATAAGTAAAATTACATTCTTTCATTCATTCAGCGTTATATTTTTTTACATTTTAGACGTTGGGTAAATCGTGTAAGATGTAATAATTAATTATTTGTTTTTCGGTCAAATATACGACATAGCATAATGCGGGAACCAGAACAGCGTGTCGAATGCGTGCGCAATTTATTGAGTGCATTCTATTACCCTTTGATTACCCCTAGTAGACGGTTTTGCGAGATCGTTAAACTGAACGCGTCAAATGCAGCGCTGCAAATAAACGATGTTCGATCACGTCGTCGTCTATCGTGATTACTGGCTCGTTGGATCCTATAATGGCATGCAGGCTTTCCTCACTTGATGGACCATTATGAAAAGACTGTATCATCATATCTTGCAAGTTACGATCGCTGTATTCTGGAAACATTTTCGCAGATGTTCTATAAATGAAAAGTATATAAGGAAAAATAACCGAACTTTATGCTATTTATAACTTTCGCGACGTAACCTTCGCGAAATAATTATTAGTTAAATTTATATTACTTTACACTTCACTGAAACAAGAAAGTTTAGGAATACCAAATGTATCTATGATGAAAATTTTTCTCAGAATTTTTGTACAAATTGTAACACTTTTCAGAAATACTGAGAAAGTCTATATTTTTTCTTGTGTTAGAATTTTTTATATATACAAATTCTGAAATATTCTCTAAAATATTTTTAAGATTTCTTGTTCTGTAATTTCTAAAAAAAAATATCTTAAATTTTTTTAAATTTTACAAAATTTATCAGAAAAATTAAAAGATGAAGTATCTTAGAATATTTCAGAATTCATATCTACGAAGAAATCTAGAAAATGTAGACTTTTTTGGCACTTGTGAAAAATGTTTTCTCTCCCTCAATTTATATAAAACATTTTTTTAAGTGTGAAAAATTTTCTAGAAAAGTTATAAAATTATACAGAATTCTGAAAAGTTACATGAAAAATTCTGAGAAATATTTTCATCGAGAATTGATGAAATATTTAATAAATGTTTTCAAACAAAATAATAAATAATAGTTTAATATTAATTAGGAAAGTTAGTATAGAACAAATGAAAATAATAAAATTAAAGAAGTAAAATAATTTAGAGAAATAAAATTAGTGTTTAATTGATTTTGGTTATACATATTAATTGAATTTTAATTAAATCTGTTGCATCAGAAAGGTTTTTTTATCGGAACTATCATCTCTAAACTTGAATATTATTAAACTTTTTTCAGTGCTTTAATTTAAAGTTTTGATTTGCCATTCCAGGAATATATGTTAGTTCTTTATTACGTTAGTTTCTTATCTCATCTAACTTTATAGGCTTGCACATTTCTATCTACTTGTTGATGCGAAAACTCTCACTGGCTACACGTTAAACGTCCAGGAAGCAAGGTTGATATAGAAGGCAGTTCACTGGCGAAGTTAGTTAGCAGTATAATGTTATTATATTCTACACATAGTGTTACACTTCACTGTCTCTAGTACCTCGTACGTAGCTTGCCGACCTCCTGTCTATTACTCTTCACCTTGGGCGTTCCCTAAGTTGGTCAAGTCTGTAGGAGCACGCTCCGAGCATGCATCGTCAATGCACGATGCTAAGCTCAACCTGTAATCAAGCTATTGTGGTGATAGAAAAAAATCGATTATAACGAAATATTGCGTTACGTGACATCCAGTATTGGACGCGCAGTTACGGAAGTTTTTTTGAATTCTGCACACATTGTTAAAATATCAATTGTTGTCAGTGCAATATTTCTGCAATTTGATTCTTTTTTAGCAAAAGCAAAACCTTGTTCTCAAATTTCACTTTTATTTTTGCTCAAATTTCAATTTTTTTTATTAAACAAAAGCTTGAAGTTGAAAAACTTGCATTTGAGTTAAAAAACTATTTAGTAATATTATAGAAAAATATTGAAAAGTATCCTTGAATTCTTTTTGGGAGCTAAAAAACTTGAACTGTATAAAAAAGATTGTAGATAAAGTGAATAAATATACGATTGTAGACAGAGAGATATATACGTATTACCATTTGCTTGCAGTCCACCCGCATGTGATATTAATGTCATAAATTTAGAAACAGTACATTCAATTTCGTATAGGAAGAAATTGCAAAAGGATTAATTTAATCACAATTGATGTGTTATCTGCGATATTAATCACCTAATATTGACATTATTATTAATATCAACATTATATTAGTATTAATATCTGATATTACTTTTAATAATTGAACGTCACTTATAGCAGTTACAATTTTACAATATTCTAATAATACCGAAAATGTTTGTAGAAATATTGGATCGTTAAGCTGTATGGAATCGACTATCTTTATCTTTAGAATCAATATAGAGCGATAAAACTCGAAATCCAAGTTTCTTCTGTTAGCTTAGTAATAGATTTCGAGTTAATACGCTATTAAA